CCTATATCAATTCGTGAGGCGAGGCATAAGCCTCGAGGCGTTTTGAGGCGTAAGCCTCAAAATCAAAAAATTACGTAAACATAAAATAATAAATTTTTTACATTCTAATTAGTGAATAACATAAAACATAAAAAAGCATAAGATATGAAGTGAAATCAAAATATCCCAATAATAAGACAACATGAAATATAGTTCAACTCAAAATTCGATCTTTCCTAAATACCAGTATTCTTTTCATTAACATATAATTCCAATTTCCAAAAACAAATAGCAATGACATATCACATAAGAACTCATAAGTCGTCAACATAGCGTGAGGCGTAAGCCTCATGGCAGTGAGGCGAGCGGGCCTCACCCAAGTTGAGGCGCAAGCCTCATAAAAAAAAACTCGAGGCGTAAGCATTAAGACGTTTTTTATTGGAATTGCGCAAAGGCGAGCCTCATATTGCGCAATTTTAGACCATGGTTAGAACAACTTCTCTTCAAAGAAAATTAGGAATGTTTGTGCATAACATTAGTGATCTAGTAAGCTCTAAATGATATCTATTTTCCTTTTCAACAATCCTACTTTGTTGAAGGCTGTTAGACAAATTAGCTTTTCTAGGACTGATTCAAAGTATTCCTTGACATTGTCAATTTTTAGGATTTGAATTTTGAACTGAAATTGGGTGTAGATCATTGTACTAGCATTTTTTTTTTCAGTTGGGATTTTTCTTTCATTAAGAACATCCAAATAACACAGGTATGATCATCGATGAAGGGAATAAATTATCTAACTCTAGAGACATTATCATAGATTAAAGCAAGACATTGAGAAGATTTGTAGATTTGAATGGGATAGGTACTAAGAATGTAATTAGCTAGTTGACAAATCTCACAATGAAAGTCTTTTAAATTTTGTTGGTGATTAGAGAAGGAATTAAGTTAAGAATAAAAGTGTTGATTCCTATTTTTAAGAATAAAGGTGACGCACAAGATTGTGTGAATTATAGAGGAATTAAGCTAATGTGTCATATTTTAAAACTATGGGAGAGAGTTATGGAGCATAGGTTGTGGCGAGATACTAATGTTTCTCAAAATCAATTTGGATTCGTGACGGGTAGGTCTACTATGGAAGCTATACATTTATTGAGAGGTTTGATGGAGAAGTATAGAGAGAATAAGGAGGATCTTCATATGATTTTTATTGATTTAGAGAAAGCATATGATAAAGTTCCAAGAGAAGTGCTATGGAGAGTTCTAGAAAAGAAATGGGTTAATAATGCTTATATTCAAGTCATTTATGATATGTATGCAAGATTTGTTACTTGTGTTCAAACACAAGGTGGTTTGACCAAATATTTTCGTATTTCAGTTAGATTACATCAAGGATGATCCTTAAGCCCATATCTTTTTTCTTTACTCATGGATGTTCTCACTAGACATTTGCAAGAGGTTGTACCCTGGTCTATGCTTTTTGCGGATGATATTCTTCTTGTTGATAAGACTAGAGAGGGAGTTGAAGGTAAACTTGAATTATGGAGGTCAACCTTAGAGTCTAAAGGTTTTTGTTTGAATAGATGTAAAACTAAATATATAGAGTGTAATTTTAGTAGTAATAGATCTAGTGTGAGGATTGTGACTTTGGGCAATCAAGTCATTAATAAGAGTACATGTTTTAGATATCTTAGTTCTATTGTTCAGAGTGATGGTGAAATAGATGAAAATATTATTAGTAGAATTCAAGTTGGATGTTTCAAGTGGGGAAATGCATCGGGCTTGTTGTGTGATAGAAAAGTCCCCTTCAAACTTAAGGGAAAATTATATAAGATAGTTGTGAGACCTACAATGTTTTATGGTGCAGAATGTTGGCCACTAAAAGAGAAGCATAATATTAAGTTAAGTGTTGCAGTGATGAGGATGCTCAGGTGGATAAGACGGGATATGAAATGAGCATATACGTGGAGAGGTTGGAGTAGCTACAGTGGAAGATTATACAAGAAAGTCGCCTTAGATGGTTTGGTCACATAAAACGTCGGCCTTCCGGTGATCCGGTTAGGAAAGTAGATGTATTAGATTTGACTTATGTTAAGAAAGGTAAAGGTATACCTAAAAAGAATTGGTTATAAAATATTAGAAATGACCTTTCGTTATTAGATCTAAATAAGAATTTGACTATTAATAGGACGTAATGGAGAAAAAAGATTCATGTAACCGAGCCCACATAGTGGGATAAAGGCTTGATGTTGTTATATTAGGGAAGGAATTAATTTATTAACGCAAGTAAAATTTGTGACCGAGTTGATAGTGCTGAAGTCATATATTACTATCATTACTTGAACTGTTTTTGGAATTTAGAGTGAGTGTTTTTGTAAACACACAGCTCATTTGTGCTTGTACCTGATTTGAGTTTTTATTCTTTAGAAGGTAGAGTCTTGAACACTTTTCTGCACTGTTAATCTTTTTCCTGAGTTCAACACCAAAAGTGACAAAAGTTAAATGAATAATTAGCCACATTTTTTTTGTCTCAAATGAGTTTGTTAATTAATAAAAAATTGCAATCTAAGTTATACACTTGGCACAAGTGTCAAATCTTTCGAGAGAATGGAATAACCTATTCCTATCATTTTTGAAAGTGATCGGCTACAATCCTGACAATAATTTCAGTGCATGTGTTAGAATTGTTAAAAACATTTTTGTCTCCTCTCATATGTTCTAACGCTCACAAATCTACTAATTTTTTTCTTATTTGAAATGAGGGATTATGAGAATTTATCTTTCTAAGTAGTCGAATTTAAGCTTCTATATAGAGAACGGATGGTTTTCTTTGATGTTAATATCTGGATTGCTAGAATAGGAAAGAGAGAGCTGTTGTTGGTTTTTCTTCAAAAATGTTAGCCGACCCCACGTAATGGGATAAAAACTTGATGTTGTTGTTGTTTCATCAATGGATTTTTCTTATTTTGGATTTGTATTTTCTATTTTGAGGTTAATTTCTAGCATTGGAATTACAGACTTCATAACCACCAGCTTTTATGTGGAAGCTACCACCGTCTTTGTTTAAAATTGCGCAATGAGAGGCGCGTCTCAACACAATTTAGTCCCTTGAAGCCTCAAAGTCCACGCAATGAGTTCAGGATATGAGGCGTACGCCTCAAGTTTACTGAGGCGCGCCTCAAGGCACTCCTCGCCTCACGGTTGAGAGGCGTCCGCCTCTAAAAATTAAAAAAAAAAAAAAAAAAGCTAATGTACATGCTCTGTACCGTTAGGTACATGCTCGGTACCGCTCAGTACATGCTCGGTACCGCTTGGTACATGCTCGGTACCGCTCGATATCTTTCCATACAAACAACTTACGAACTTTAAAAAGTACTCTTCAAAACATGCAGGTTGAACTCCGTCAGGGGGCAGCGCCCCCTTGGCCCCCCGGCAGACTGGTATATTGTTGTATTCATGTTATCTTATTATTGGGATATTTTGATTTCACTTCATATCTTGTGCTTTTTTATGTTTTATATATTATTTACTCATTAGTATATACAAATTTTATCATTTTATGTTTATGCAATTTTTTTTAGCCTCAAAATGCCTTGAGGCTTACGCCTCGCCTCACAAACTAAAAATGCCTCAATATCCGATTACGCAATTTTAAACATTGGACTTTTGCCTCTCTTTGATGAAAATTGGCTTTTGAATGTTGGTTGAAGGACTTATCGATTTAGAGAAGAGACTCCAAGTTGAAGTACCTGTCTGTCTTATACGGAATAGAACCCTAATTGTTCTTATAATAATGTTATTTGTGGGATGGTGTGAGTAATAGTTGTTGATGATAAGATGGTGAAAAATTAATTTGGACATTTTTGCATGGACAAGTAAATATATCCATAGCATGGACAAATAAATTATGTAGAAGATCATGAAGAAAAGTAGGTAGATTAAAGGTAACATGGATATAATTCATTTATTTAAGATAGGTTTAAGGCTTCGTTTGGAGCGGCTTTTTCAATGATTCTTAAAGTAAATTTTTAATACAAAAATTAAAACTTTTCTGTCAAAAGCCGCTTTAAGATGTAGTAAGAAAGCTGTCCCAAATGAAGCCTAAGTGTCACTCAATAATGAGCATAAAGAAGTGGAGGATGATAAGTTGTCTTGCCTTGTGATCAACTGTGGTGTTCCCTATTGAAGTTGTTGCTTCTTTGAGAATTTAAAAAGAGTACTGAGAAATCTGGGAAACTAAAATGATTAAAATTTGATCATCTCAAGTTCTATGTTGTATGAACTGGTCTCTTATGTTATCTAGCACATGCGTTATTCTAAGCCAAGTAAACTACCTATATTTAATGTTTGCATTTTGTTTTAGTAAAGCAAATTTGAAGTTTAGATATTTTTGATTGCTGAGAAAATGTTATAATGATTACACTGAGCTGACAACAAAGTTAGTAGAACCATGATTCAAGTTTCAAGGAAAAATCCCAAAATTGTTCTCAACTATTTCTATGTGGTCCATTTAGTCTCAGAACATCATATTTCTTTAATTTTATCGATTGCAAAATTGATTCCAAATAGTCTCTCAGAAGGTAAATTGGAATCAAATTTGTATGATCGAAGGATTAAATTGATATCAATTTTATAGCATATTTTTCATCTTTTATTTACTAAGGATTAATTTTATATAATCGCGAGATTATGTTGAAGAACTATGAAACTTCAGGATTAAATTAGTCACATTCAGGGATTATTTTGAACTTTTTCTCCTCATGTTTCATTCTTAGATCAATATACGAGTCTTTAACAGCTTCCATCATTGGAGAAATTATTCTGTGCGAACATCGGACTGTTCGAGGCGAATTATAGAGCATCACGTCACCTGGTACACAGCAAAAGGGTGATGTGGCGCGCTCTGATTCGCCTCCGAACGGTGTTCGTATCTGCACAATGATTGTTATTGATGAAAATGTTTTATTATGAATTTCTACTATTATAATAATAACTTGAAACTGAGCTTATTCGTCTTTCTGCAGCAAAAGAAGACCGAAGATAAATCCGAGAAAGAAGGTGAGAAGTAAATGGCCCTATGATGCTCTTGCCTGCTTTTTCTCCTTGGTGAGGTTGTCCTCTTTCATCCACACTGTCCATTAACTATTTTATTATTTTGATTTTATTTCATTATTCTTATAGAGTTGCTCTAATTCTCTCTTAATTCAATCTTTAATATAGAATGGAGAACTCGTAATCACCTAAATGCTTATTGATTAAGCGCTGCCATTGCTCTGTTTTGCAGGTCAGTAACGTATAAACTGCAAGAACTCAGATCAGCTCAGCAACTCGAACAGAACCTGCTGCTGATTATATCTTATGAAGAAGAAAAACCCCTTAGTTTTCAGCTTATAACTGATCCTTCAATGGATTTAAATCCTTTATATTTATTGGAATACTTGTTAGTAGTTAATCAGTTTCTCTGTGGCTGAAAAATTATGCTGATTTATGTTTTTTTTTTATCTGTGCCAATTTGGAAGAACGGATAATATTCTTATGAAGGAGCTTTTCAAGTAAAATACTAATCGAACAATGTCTCCTTGGTTATAACTTCTGAGGGGAATTTAATGGAGATGGTGATGAATATCTTATTCTTTATCTTATTTAAAGAACTAAGGCTTTGTTTGGAACGGTTTTTTATTGCTTCTTAAAGTATCTTTTTAATGTAAAAATTTAATTTTTGTACTAAAAAGTTGTTTTTAGAAACTGAAAAAAAAAACTGTGGGTCGATTTTTTATCGCTTCTGAAAGTAGCTTTTTAGTTTAAAAATTAAAATTTATGTACTAAAAACTTGTTTTAAGAAACAGTAAGAAAGCTGACCCAAACGAAGCCTAAGCCTTCGTTTGGGATAACTTATTATTTTTTAAAATAGTTTTTTTGTATGAAAATTAAAATTTTTGTATTAAAAAGCTGCTTTAAGAAGCAATAATAAAGTTGTCTCAAACGAAGCGTAAGTGTTAAAATTTATAAATATGATAATATTTTTGTTATGGAGGTAAATCCTAATTTTTAAATGCTAAATTTAATGAGTGGCTTTGATTTTCTTTTGAGGAGAAAGTGCTTCTTAAAGTAACTTTTTAGTATAAAATTTTTAATTTTTGTATTAAATAAATGCTTTATGAAGTAGTAAGAAAGCCGTCCCAAACGAAATTTTAATTTTCCTAAGTTTATAGTGAATATATAACATAATTATAAAAATATATTTTCAATCTCATAAAATAATGATTAATTTAGAGCATCTATCTTATATGTACAGAGATTCTTAATTTTTTATAATAAAAATAATTTTGGCCTTAATATTTCTCTACTGTTACATGCATACCAGCTTAATTACATATATACCATCTTAATTGTATATGCACTATATACTAGCTTAATTGAATGGGTATTAAATGCAAATTGGTAATATTTTGGAATTAATAATGAAAAGAAAAAAAATATAAATGAGAGCAGTTGGATCTGTAAACATTCATAACAGTGAGATCAGATGTTTTTAGTGTTAGATATATAAATAGCACGAAATAAAGTGATATGTGTGTAAATTTCTCTTACATACATATCATTTTATTTCATGCTATTTACATATCTAACACTTAAAACACTAATATTACATGTCTACCACCCATAGAATAAATTTCGATGCATGAAATGAAATATTAAAGTTTACAGGATGTTATGAATGGTAGAAATGAATTACAAGAATCATATATTTGATATTAAAGTTGTATATGGGTGGTAGACATGTAGTATTAATATTTTTAGTGTTAGATATATAAATAGCACGAAATAAAATGGTATGTGTGTAAATTTCCCTATATTTTTTTTCAGCTAATTAAATGACCTATAAGTATTGATATTTCATAACGGTAAGATTTACTTATAATATATTTATTAATTTACATTTATGTTTTGAGTTTTAAGTCACAGAACTCTAACTATTAAATTTAGATATAATAATTTAATATTGACGGAAGTCATGGCTTATTTTCTTAATTAAATTTTTTAAATCATAAATTAATAGGCTAGCAATTTTTAACATCTAGGGTTCCAAATGAACTAAGACGCTCAACAAGATGTGTAGCTTGACTTAATTAGGAAGAGAAGCATAATACTAAGTTAAGTGTGGCAGAAATGAGGATGCTCAGGTGGATGAGTGGCTTTACCCTTAGAGATAAGATACGAAATGAGCAAATACGTGAAAAGGTTGGAGTAGCTCCAATAGAAGATAATATTAGAGAGAGTCGCCTTAGATGGTTTGGTCACATAAAAAGGCAGCCTTCCGATGACCCTGTTAGGAGAGTAGATGTATTAGATTTGACTTGTGTTAAGAAAGGTAGGGGTAGACCTAAAAAGACTTGGTTAGAAAATATTAGGAATGACCTTTCTTTATTAGATTTAAACAAGAATTTGACTTTTAATAGAACACAATGGAGAAAAAGGATTCATGTAGTCGACCCCACGTAGTAGGATAAAGTCTTGATGTTGTTGTTGTTGTTGTATTCAATTAAAATTTTATTTTAAGCTTAATGGTCTACTAAAGATAATTTTTATTCAGTTAACTAACAAATTGTTGGATTGTGTTGTTCATTAATAAATTTTATAAAACTAATTTGATCTATTGAAAAGTTTTCTTCTACAAACACACTCCAAAGGTTTTTAATTAGGGGGAGGGGGCTGTCTGGCAACCTGATTTATGCAGGATTTAGCTTAAATCCCGCCAAACGAGATTTGAAAATCCCATAAATCTCATGGCGAGATAAATCTATCATTAACCTCTTTTAGTTGTAAATACTGGATTTATTAAATTCGGGAGTTCAGTGGATTAATGAGAATTGGCCAAAGAAGCAAGTGAAAGAGGAGAACAATGATTACCTTCGTTGTGCGCAAGCTCCCTCATTTCTTCGGATCTGATGTTGTTGAAAAAGGCGAAGAGGCTTCTACTCCGCCCGAAGCACATGAAGCCGAAGCAACAAAGTTAAGCTTGCCCGTATAGAGTTGATCTATTGAAAAATTACACCAATGAATTAAACTGTTAGATTAAATTCAGGAGATTTATTCATAGATAAAATCTCTATATATATTTTTTTTTCTAAAAATTAGAGAGATTTTCACCGATTCTCTTTCTATGGTAGACTCTCATTTCTTAGTTAATATTGTTTTTATTATTTTGATGTGGCCCACAAATAAATTTGAATTCAATGCAAACTTTCTTAAAGTGATTTTTTTTCTTTTTTTGTAGCCTATGTCCACTATGTGGTGAGTGGGGATGGCTTCCATCATCAAATGATATATGAGTACATAATGGAAGGAAGTTTTGCCTCTTCTCCAAGGAAGATGGGCAAGCAAAGGAGAGTAGCAAATTTGCAAGAGATCAATCTCAAGAGCAACATGATCTTCTTTTTTAGGTCTTAAGATACATATTTATAAGCATACTAAAATGGTCTTATTAACTATTATATTAGACATTATAATCACTTGGGCACAAATTAAATAAATATCCTTTTTTGTCCTTGTACCTTTCCTCTTGGTGTCATGAATAAAGCTTTAACATGGGAAAAAAGTAGGTGGCAACTTATCAGAGATTAGATCATGACATCTAGGGGATTCATCAAGAGAAAGCAAACAATCTGCAATGGCATCAAGCGACCACCAAAAGACTGACAAAAAAGCCTTGAACCAAACATGATGATATTGGACACCAAGAGGAAAGGAAGGTACAAGGGCCTAAAAAGCATAAATGAACTATTGGTGAGAGTTTTCTTCTAAAAGATAGTTGTATATTAATGATGTTTCATTAGTCCTTGATCTGATAGGTTGATAGTGATTAATGAGTTATTGATCATTATGATAGTACAAGTGAGGTGATGATCTCAATATTTAGTTGGGGGCCACAACACTTAATTGACATTGCTAAATGCGTGATTTTTATATACTAGCTCGCTAAATGAGGACAATTATTAATGAGAATTGTTGCCTTAGAGTTAACGATCTGCTAATGACTATTCAAATATGAGCTAATAAGTTAGTATAGTTTGGTGGACCCTCTCGAGATAAGAAAGATGAAGAAAATGAGGCAGCACTTCAGGCAAGTTTTGTTGAAAAATAAGAATGTAATACAATGATGAAGAAAATGAGGTAGGGCTTGAGGCAAGTTTTATGATATTAAAAATTTCTTGTTACTATGATCATGGAGTATATTTAAGATTTTTTGGAATCTTTTTCTCCAAATATGATATTTTATTAATTAATCATTTTCTATTCTCCTGTTACTTAACGAAATGTAAAAACATTCTACTATTATATCAATGGTTGGTTAGTTGAGCCAGCATTTTCCACCGGTTTGATACTGGACTGGTTTGTCATGAGAATCGAACTGGCCATAACACAACGGTTGAACTAGTCAAACCTGTCAGTTTGATCCCGTTTTCAAAACCATGGTTATCATTGATATAGGTGACTCAATTTTGTCAAGCATCATAAAATTTTCTATTTTCTTATGAGTTTTTTGTAATATTATTTTGTTTATTGGACATTTTCATAAATAGCAATCAAAATCATATTGTTTATATATTTAACACCTAAAAGTTAATGTATACTGCCATAACACTTAAAATTTTAAATAACATAAAAAAATAATAAAACGCAACATGACTTTACTGTCACTTCTTTTTTTTTTTTGTGGCTAAATTTCATCACCATGGATCACAACTTCCTCTATGTCGTTGAGGGTTTCGTTAAAAAGATAACAGTGTTATATTATATGAATAATAAATTTTAAGTGTTAAATATATAAATTGGACAGTTTAGAGTACTATGAATTTGAATCCCCTTTATCTATTTTAGGCATTAAATATATAAGTTGCCAATTTTATTTTTTATAATCATTGAATTCAATATCACTTCATTGATAGTGATCTATAATAGAATTGCACGCATAAAAATCAAATTTCATCAATTGTTATGATAATTTATTAATTTATCAAGCATTCAAAAAATTTAAAAGTGTTTGCACACCATATTAAATACCCTTTTAAAAGTTTATTTTTACCCATATATTTTATCAATCAAAATTATTCAAATATATGCAATATATTATCAACAACTCATATTTAAGTCCTTAATATTTTTGGTACTTTAAAATCACAATTATTTTCTCATATAATAAGAGCCATTCATCCATAATTATCATAATTCTGCGGTGAATAATAACCGACATATTTCTTTAATTGATGATATGCTATTATTATTTTTTTAAGATAAAAATAAAATAAAAACTTTATATATATATATATATATATATATTGCATTATCTCATGAATTTTTAGTTAGTCTACTACAAAATTAAAATACACCAAAAATATTTCTTTTAATTTGTGATAGCTAAAGCAAAGGAGATCAAATGAAATTTATAAAATATGATCAATCTATTGTAAAAAAAAAAAAAATTGTTGGGCCTATGCATAAGCAGTGGGGTTTAAAAGGACATAAATAATGTTAATTATAAGGATAATTAATAGATTATAACAACATCTAAGTTCAAAATATAGGCTTATTAAACCAAACTACTTTAAGTTTGAGGGAGTATTAACCAAAAAGGACAAAAACACTTGAGGAATATATGATAATGAATGCTTCAGTTCTATGTATAAATGTTCTCTTTGATAATCTTTGATGACCATAATACAAATGCATATCATTTGATATTTTACATAGAAAGATCATCATATTATGATGTATATCAATTTTTTTTGTGGTTGTAAAGATATTTAGGTGAAATGGAAGATATGAATATGGATGTTTTTGTTGTTCTATGTATAAAGTTCTCTTTGATAATTATATTCAATATGTATATATTTTGATGATTTGCAAAGAAAGATCATCATGTTATGATGATGGATATGATTTTATTTGTTTTGTAAATTAAACACTCGCATATATGTTTTCAGGTACTTCATAGGTGATTGGTAGAACCTAACATGTGAGTTTGCACCTCGCGAACATCAGCAATGAAGATTTGCCTAATCATTAACCTCAACTTAATAGAATAGCGAGAAAGGAGTGGCCTTTCAAAGAGGTAGCAAGGGTTCACATAGGCTACTAAAAATGGGACTCGCTCTCCTAGCTAGAAGCACACCCTCTAAGCCACACGGTTGTCACCTTGAGTAGAGAAACACCAACGAAGTCCATTATCCTTGCTATAGGGAAGGATCCTTATGTAGAGATTCAAGCTCACCACATCACACTCGATTGACCACGGAGTCCACTATGCCATCAATTTAAACAGACTCAACCTCTACATCGAAGTAGTCTAGAGGCTCCATTCAATAGGTTGTTAGGGTCTCCAAATGACTCATCAACAACAGTCCTCTCAGTCTAACCCTCATTAGCAAACTCATTTATGTCAGCTAACCCATGAGTATTTGGCACAAGAGGATTTGACTCGAGGCTACAAAGTTAAACTAAAAAGACGCAACACATGTCATGCAAACCCATCATAACACAAATTGTAGCTAGATACCCTAGAGCAATTTTTTTGCTTCTAAATTAATCTATGTCAATCTCACCCAACACAATTCAAAAGCTTCTTCACTTGTTGCTTGTCCCACTTACATTGTTGATTAAAAACACCATATTGGCCATTATTTATTCAAATTTTATTTGGGATAACTTTATTCCTACTTTTTAAAACAGTTTTTTAATATAAAATTTTTCTGAACAAGAAATTTTTTTACTAATTAGTTGTTTTAAAAAACAATAAGAAAATTTTCCCAAGTAAAACCTAAACGGATCAAAATCATCCAAATTGAAATCCTTGGCAGCTACATATTGCATGCAATTAGCACACATCTAAATAGTTCTCATCTTAAACTTGTAAGTTAAACAAACCAACAAACTCTTTTATTAAGCATCACATTCAAATGCAGCAGTAATACTGCCCATCTTTACCTACTTTCAAAAGAATAAGTCAACCATACCATCACTCTCCACTAAGCTTCCATCGAAATTTACTTTACAAGAATCAGGAAACTGTAAACCAGCTTGCTCGCAATCTAGCTTTGTAATATGTGGGCAGGACCTCAGATCCAAGTAATCTAATGACTTACAGGACTCCAATAAGATGTTCATGGCTGCCACTGTGATCCTTGGCAAGTTGGTGACCTTCAAAACCTTCAAATCTGATTCAAAATCTCCACATATTAGTCCCTCAAAGGCTGAATCTGTTATGTTATCGCAGGATCCAATATCAAGAGCCATAAGATATCTACAGTTTGAAAATATCCAGTTTACTGTCAAATCTGTGATGTTAGAGCACCAGCTCATCCCCAAGATCCTCAGGCTTTGATAGCAGGATAGAGCTAAGGACTTCACTGATTCATCAGAAATGTAACGGCATCCACAGATCACTAATGTCTCCAAATTATGGCAGGAGTTGGCCAAAGATAGAATGGATTTGTCGCCTACGTTACAGCAGTCTAAAAGCTTCAAGACCTTGAGAGAAGAGGAGCAGACCTCTGCAACTCTTGAGATCCCAGCATCTCCAACCTTGCCACACCTGCTGACATCTAGGCACTTAATCCGGCGGCAGCCGTGAACCAGGCAAATGATGCCGGAGTCGGTTATCTTGAAACAAGAAGCTAATCCGAGCTCTTCGAGATGAGAACAGTTTTGAGAGAGAGACTGAAACAAGTCATCTGTGATGGATCTGCAGCCCTCAAGCTTTAAGCTTCTTAGATCGTGGCATCCCTTTGCAATGGCTACCAATCCATTATCAGTCAGTTTTTTGCAGTTGGAAACATCCAAGGACTGAAGGTTTGTAAGAACCTTGCCAAGTGTTATCATTCCAGCATCAGTAATACCTATGGCACAGTAATGTTGTTGCAAGGGTGGGATTATGTTAAACAACAATATATTCTTTCGAATTCAAAGATAGTATAAGCATAATGTTAAGAGAAAAAACCGGCATCAAGATAACAAAGTATTTAAGGTCTATCATAGAAGAAGAAGGACGCAAATCTTTCAAAGATTGAGAGCACTACAATAACCACCGGCTACAGCAACTCTTGGTCGGTCCCAAACTCATTGCATGTTCTTTTATTTTACTTGTATTAAACCAGCTGGTCTAACTGTTTATTAAACCCAAAATCAGTTTATGTAAACACTACAAATAGACCCTAAATGCTGTACTTGAATTCAGGAAATAAGATTTCTAGTTTCTCTTCCTTAAGGAGTCAACACCTACTCAAAAGGTATCTTCCCCTTCTTGATGTAGATCAAGAAGCATAACAAATGGTGCTCTTGTTACACTAACTTCATACCTCCCAACATTTTCATTTCACTGTTCTCATCTCTACCAAGATATTTCCTCACCCCGGCCCATATTCCATGGGTTTTCAGCACCAGCAGCCACCTCAGCTCTTGCCGGTCCTTCACTCTTATTCCTCTCCATCAAATTGTGGTCATCAGGGCTTTCAACTGTCGCCTCCCATGCAATTCAGCTGCTGTTATCTCAGCTGCCAGCTGCAGTTTGTTGGCTTCCAGCTCCTTCCACTACCTTTTTTACTTGCAAACTTTGAGATTCTTGCTAGAATCCTCAAGATTCCCGTCACTTCTTCCCACCGGATAGGCTCCCTTCAACCAACACGTTCCAGCCACAGCTTTTAACGTTCAGCCAATACATTCCAGCAATGGTCTTACCAACCTACAACATTTTGAACATCAGGTAGCAGTTTCAAGACCAGCGGGTCCTCAGACAGCCCAAACAGCAATAAATTCGACCAGTTGTTGTCCCACCTCTTCCTTCTCAAGACTACATCAGGTACCGGTTCTTGTAATCAAGATGGACCCCATCTTCTTCCGCTTTCGACAGCCCTCTCAACATGAAAAATGCAGATTTGGCACAAGCTCTCCGAATAATGCAAACCAGTCAAGCATTGCAATTCTCCGAAATCCAAAAATCTCTACGAGTCAATGTTCAATTTGCCTCCATTGGCTCATCACTTCAACAATTTCATGCTTTCATTCATTCTATTGACAAGAAATTTGATAGTTTGTGCATTGACTGACCACCTCCTCCACTCCATCAACATCCTTCCTCTTCCGCTAGCATCCTTGGTTCCACTGATCGAATCCCTTATCCACAACCACCATCGTCTCCTACAAGTATCTCTTTTGTTAAATCAATGAAAATTAGACTTCCTCGCTTTCATGAATTTGATGACAAAAACATGAACTTTTAAAGCACAGGAAAACTTCAATTTTCACAACACTCCTAATTATCATCATGTTAGCAAAGCTTCCTTTCATCTTGAAGGACCTATAGCTACTTGGCACCAAGGGTTATGCATTAAAGCTCTTTTTGCTTTTTTTCCATCTCTCAACCTTGAGAAGCAAATTATTTTTCATGGCGATGGGAGTAACAATATATTCTTTTGAACTCAAAGATAGTACAACAACAACATCAATAATGAGTGAACAATTCAGAAAATCAACGTCAAGATAATAAAATATTTAAAGTCTATCATAGAAGAAGAAGAAAGTAAATCTTCCAAAGATTGAGAGCACTACATCAAATAGCCAGCTACAATGACTCGTTGTTCAATTTATTTCAGCATTAAATCGGTCCTAAACCAAATGTATTTTTTTTTTATTTTACTTGTATTGAACCAACTGGTCTAAACCTTTATTAAACCTAAATTGATTTATGTAAACACTATAAATAGACCTCGAATGCTGTAATTGAATTCAGAAAATAAGATTTCTAGTTTCTCCCTTTCTAGTCTCTCTTCTTTCCTTTCTTTCTTAAGGAGTCAACAACTAATCAAAATGTGCCTTCCCCTTCTTAAGGAGTTCACAACTAATCATTCACTAGTAACGAGCTAAAAGTGCTGAACTTTGCTAACCCACTTCATTTAGGGGTTGTTTGGTTGCTTGAAAAATGGAATGCAGTGTAAAAAGATTGCAATGTATTTGAAATACTTTGGAGTTATTTGGTTGATTGTAAATTAGATGTAGGTTTTTTCTTCTTTTTTTTTCTTTGTTTAGCTTAAAGTAAAATGAATCCAGTGGTGGCTAGCGGTGGCTGACAGGGGCGGGGGTTGTCAGCAGGGAATTGGCAGCGGCGGGAAGGCCGACAGGTGACAGGCGGCGGTAGGGTGGGGGTGGCTGGCGGTGGCGGTGAGTTTCCACTGTATTTGAAAATCTCCTAAATCTAAGGAATTCCAAATACACTGGATTTGAACTAGATGATAAATTCCTTTTACTTCAAAATTTTACTTTGTGTTCCTTTCACTTCAAATCAAACACCAATATTTTCAAAACCCTTGCATTTGAATACATAACACTCCTAATGCAGTAAACCAAACAACCCCTTAGATTACTTCCAAGGTTGTCCTTGTGGCTATACAGTATGTCTCAACAGCTATTCTTGCTACCCGCTAGTTGATCTTCTTGTTTTTTGTTATTTGGAGACATTGGCTGTTGTTTTTTCAAGGCAATTTGTTGCTTCATCACTTTTGTGATAATAGTTTGGAAGGCTACAAAGGACTAGTCACCTATTATACTTACTATACAAACCCTTCTATTTCCTAATTTATAAATTTTTTTCCTTAAGATGGATTCATACAAACCATCAAAGTGACTGTGGGGTTCCCATGTCATATCCCACCAACCTGCATTTTTTTCTGCATATGTAATGGTTGTTCTTTTCCAACACTCGACGTTGGCATGGCAATGCAACAAAAAGGCCAATTGTGTTAATGAATGTTCAAGAAGGTAGAAGAAATATTTTTTTAAGCTTCTAGACTGAAATAGGATTTAACAAATAATACATCAAGCCCTATGTTGTCAATTTGTATCCACACTACCTAGCACGTCACCATCAAAACATAAAGATCATACACACTCTGATCCATAAAATTTTTTTTTTTACTTTCACAAAGAACAACAAACAAGATTGATCCCCGGCCTATCAGCTAAGGAGACATTTTTTTTATTTTAAGAATTAGTAAACATGAATAGAAAAAAATATAAGTACTGAATTAAAATAGAAGTATCATCCATTGATATCCCGTTAGGTTAGCAAAACTTTTCGATTGTCAATATTGAATTGTATCATAAATTTGAAATTACATATGGTAAGAAGCATATTGCAGTTATAAACTTCTTGGTACCATAACCTGCCCAAAACCTTCCAAGAGGAACTTTGCCCTTCTAAATTAACACAAGTTAATGCTCTCATGGGTGGAACCAAGAAGAGCTCAGGGTGGATAATTGACCACCTTAAATTTTTTTTCTTAGAAGAACAAGCATTTTAAGATGAAGGGACAGAATATGAAAAAATAAATGAAACGTTGTTTTAAGATTAGATGGAGGCATTTAAAGAACACTAACAAAAATATTATTGAGAGTAAGATTCGAGATCTTAAGATTTTTTTTTGCATGAGGACGCGAATGTTATGTGGAAAAATATAGCTAATAATATTAAGAATGTTGCAAATGATGTGCTTGCAGTTTCAAAAGGAAAGTCTCTTAATAATAAAAATAATTGATGGTGGAATCAAAATGTGCAAGAATAGATCAAAACTAAGAAACTTTATTATAATAATTAGTTTAGATGTAAAAAACTCTGAAAATTGGAAAATATATAAAGAGGATCGTAAGATGTCTAAGAAAGCAATCTGCGATGCAAAGATTTTTATCTTTTAATGATTTATATAATATATTGGATTCTAAAGAGAGCGAAAGATATATGTATAAGTTAGTCAAACAAAGATATAGTAGTAAGGATTTAGTTCAAGTGAAATGTATTAAAGATGGAGATCAAAAAGTGCTTTTTTAGAAGAGGATATTCAACAAAGGTGTATGAGATATTTTGTTAAGCTTTTCAATGAAGATTGTGAAAATTCGATTGACTTTAATGACCTTAGTACTCTAAATAAAAATAGAGAATTTTATTTTTATCGGCGTATTAGTAAAATTAAAGTTAGAGATGCTTTGAAGAAAATGAAATGTGAAAAAATTATTGGACCTGATGATATTCCAATAGAGGTGTGAAAATGCTTAAGAGATGAAGGAATTTCTTAGCTTACTAAACTTTTTAAATTTATTTTGAAGACTAAAAAGATGCCAAATAAGTGGAGAATGAGTGTATTGATTCCTATTTTTAAGAATTAAAGTGATGCACAAGATTGTGCGAATTATAAAGGAATTAAGTTAATGTGTCATACTTTAAAACTTTGGGAGAGAGTTATGGAGCATAGGTTACGACTTGATACTAATGTTTCTCAAAATCAATTTGGATTTATGCCGGGTAGGCCTACTATGCAGGCTATTCATTTATTGAGAGGGTTGAGGGAGAAGTTTAGATAGAACAAGGAAGATCTACATATGATATTTATTGATTTAGATAAAGCATATGATAAAATTTTAAGAAAAGTGCTATGGAAAGTCCTAGAAAAGAAAGGGGTTAATAATGCTTATATTCAAGTAATTATGGATATGTATAAAGGTGTTGTTACTTTTGTTCAAACGCAAGGTGGTTTGACCAAGTATTTTCCTATTTCAATTGGATTACATCAAGGATAAGCCTTAAGCCCTTCTCTTTTTTCTTTAGTCATGGATGTTCTTACTAGACATTTGCAAGAGAATGTACCATGGTGTATGCTTTTTGCAGATGACATTCTTCTTGTTGATAATACTAAAGAGGGCGTTGACGGTAAACTCGACTTATGGAAGTCAACCTTAGAGTCTAATTGCCTTCGTTTGAGTATATCTAAAATCGAATGCATGAAGAGTAATTTTAGTAATAATAGATCTAGTGGGGGGATTGTAACTTTGGGCGATCAATTCATTAATAAGAGTACACGTTTTAGATATCTTAGAACTACTGTTCAAAGTGATGGTGAAATAGATGAGGATATTATTAGTAGAATTCAAGTTGGAAGGTTGAAGTGGAGGAATGATTCAAGTATATTGTGTGATAGAAAAGTACCACTCAAACTTAAGATAAAATTTTATAAGATGGTGGTGAGACCTGCAATGCTGTATGGGGCATAATGCTGGCCATTAAAAGAGAAGCATAATATTAAGTTAAGTGTTGATGAGATGAGGATGTTTAGGTGGATGAGTGGATTTACTCTTAGAGACAAGATACAAAACGAGCATATCCATGAAAAGGTTGGAGTAGCTCCAGTGATAGATAAGATTAGAGAGAGTCGCCTTAGATGATTTGGTTGTGTAAAACGGCAACCTTCCGATGACCCTATTAGGAGAGTATATGTAGTAAATTTGGTCTATGTTAAGAAACATAGAATTAGACCTAAAAATTCTTGGTTAGAAAATATTAAAAATGACCTATCTTTATTATATTTAAATGAGAATTAGACTCTTAACATGACATAATAGAGAAAAAAGGATTAATGTAGCCAACCACTTGGTGGGATAAAGGCTTGATGTTGTTGTTGTTGTTGTTGTTGTAGAAAAATAAGCATTTTTAACTATTTTGACCACCTTAAATAAATGCAATAGCCAAAGTTCTAAAATTTTTTTCCTATTTTATATATATATAATTATACATTTTGCAATCATATTTTGCCCGCCCTCAAAAAAGAGGCCGGTTCCGCCTCTAAATAAAATCATGCCTTAAACTAGGGAAGTTTATCCATGATAGTATAATTATAAAAGGTTTTCACGCCTGATCAATCATTGGGAAGGTAAACCATAGTTATGCCATGCATGATTGGTCCCCATATAGTACTCACAAGCAAATATATATATATATATATATATATA